CATACTGACTAGTTTTCAGGTGATCATAAAGGACCTGCACAAGACTTAAATCTGTCTAAAATATTTCTTCACAATTTGTGCATACACAGAGAATGCTCTTTCATATAGTGCATACAAAACCCCGTCGAATCTAGACGGCTATAAGAACGTCAGGTCGGGTGACGATAACTGCCTGAAACGTCTTCTACCCCTCAACTAAGTGGAGTATATTTGATCGCTGTTAAAGGAGATGTACGAAAAGGAGAAAATGGAAAAGAAGATGCGATCGCGGAAAACTGTTGACTGCCCGTTTTTCGATTTTTACCCAGCTGAGAATAGAGAGGGTCAGAGGTAAGGATACTTGAGGCATCAGGAGCTACTCAAGTCATGATTCTCACAGCCGCAGTCCATTACCAGACGGACTGACCTTCAATTCCCATAATCCTTGTTGACACTTTGCCTAGGCAAAGGAATTATTCAGGCGGGGAAAGCTCAGACGACCAACAGTTCCAGTGACAGCAGGCGAAATGTCGAGCGATGCTCATGCTATGATCCCGTGCGACTGATTAAATCACGATAACCAGCAAGTCGACAGCAGACTAACAAGCAATCATCGAACAAAATAGATTCCCAGTTACATATTTCCAAAATAGTCCTTGTTATTCGTTGGATGCGCGTCGCAACAATTTAAATTCTCGTTGCCCAAAGGTTATGCTTGTCTGTTAGCACAAACACATTCGCCGACAATTAAGTCACTGGACCTGGTGCTATCTGAATGCTTCCAGTTTCTAAAGCTAAAGTCACAAGAATCAGTGAATATATGGAGAGTGTAGAGAGATTCTTGAATACAGGTTCATCGCATTTTTGTCAGAAGATGAACATAAGTTTCGGCTTTATATTCCCTTGGAGAAAGATGATTCTGAGGAATTACGTTAATTTGGAAAGCCTATTAGTGAACGAAATCTCCCGACAGAAGCCGAATATTGCTGTTAAGGATCCTTCGTACTTTAAAGGACCAGGTTTTGTGCAACGCTTTACTCTTCTGCCCGTCCACAGAAGTGTTTCTTATTCTTGGTACAACGGATACTACTATTTAGTCAAGTTCAATAGACGGTATCGCATGCTAGTTCCGGAGAACCAGCATTCGTACCCTATTCGTTGGGTAAATGATTAAGGACTGACTGCAGTCTGAGGCAGAGAGAGATATGTTTTATTTTAAAAGTATCACTCCAAAAGTTCAGCAAAAAGTCCTTCATCCACCGTGGATAAAAATATGAACATAAGGCAGATAAGACCAGAAGATCATAAACGATACATAACGGCCGAGAATGGCAACTGTCGACCCTATAATCAATTGTCCGTGAAGAAGTGGCAAAATATACGACAAAGATTACTTCCTTAAAAAGGAACACCAGCGTAGTGTGTAGATTATCCCATAATTGTATTTCAAATAAACACAGAGGGGTAAAAAATAGTTTATGACGAGGGGAATAGGTCTACCGATATACATATAAGACAATCCTAATGTGAATTGACAGCAAAAAATACCTGCTTACCTATGAAAATCCGCTTTTATTAGCTCGGCGTACTGGCTAATAATCGCTCATTTAAATGCAGGTTGGTCTTGCGGTTGGTGACATCGATAATGTCCGCAAAGAGGCTACCGTCCGTCTAATTGCCCAAATTGTCAATTGGTACAATTCGATTGAAAGAGCCGTTCCCAGACGCCTCTATGCCTATCTTGTGGAAAGCACATGGAGAAGCAATTCTAAGTTCAAGAATATGACTCAAGTAAGTGTGATCCTTCCATTCCATAGAAAAATACCCTTATCTTAATTCTTTTCTCCCTTTTCTTTTAATAGGCTGTTTGCTGCAAGTGGATGAAAAAGGTTACCAGACAGAATTATGAAAAGCATAAGCGAAATATGAATAAATCAAGTCGGTTGGCGCTTCGCGAAATCATTTGATCGTGTGCAGCCTTTATACTTCAGGAAGTGAAAGCTATAAAGCAACACACAGAGACTGAGAAATTATTGAAAGGTTTGCGGAAAATTATAAAAGTAAGGAGCACGTAAGATATAAGGAATCAAGGATATTGACGGTCTGCTAACTTAGAATTAATATCGACGTCCAGGACAGAATTGACATTGCTAAATTCGCTGGTCATTCCGCTCCCCACTCCTTGTGCTTTTTTTCGTATTAGTGCTGTTAAAGCTGCTAAAACTTTTTTCCAG